CCAGGTCTGTGTCAGAAGTTCTTACTATTCCAGAATGGAGGGATGCTATGAGAACAGAAATTGATGCCCTGCACAAGAATGACACTTGGGAAGTGGTTGATTTGCCTGAAGGGAAGGATCCGATAGGCTGTAAGTGGGTTTTTACTATCAAATATCATGTTGATGGCACCATTGAAAGGTACAAGACTAGGCTGGTTGCAAAAGGCTAAACACAGACATATGGGATTGATTATCTGGAGACCTTTGCCCTTGTTGCCAAGATGATTTCTGTGAGAGTTCTGCTATCTTTGGCTATACACTCAGACTGGCCACTTTATCAACTGGATGTAAAGAATGCATTTCTGAATGGAGAGTTACATGAAGAGGTCTATATGTCTCTTCCTCCAGGGATGTATGAAACAAATATGAAAGGAAAGGCCTACAGGCTGAAGAGATCTCTTTATGGACTCAAACAGTCCCCTAGAGCATGGTTTGAAAGGTTTAGGGCTGCCCTTGTTAGCTTTGGCTATGTACAGACACTGTCTGATCATACCCTCTTTGTGAAGAGCAGAGGATCCTTGGCCATTTACCTGATTGTGTATGTTGATGATATTGTTGTGACTGGTAATGATGTCTCGGGGATTAATGATCTCAAATCTTTCCTTCATACAGAATTTGAGATCAAAGATCTGGGGGAATTGAGATACTTTCTTGGCATAGAAGTTGCTAGATCCAAGGATGGGATCCTTATCTCTTAGAGAAAGTATGTTCTTGATTTGCTCTCTGAAACAGGGAAGATGGGTGCTAGACCAATTGCTACTCCTATCGTTATGAGCCATAAACTCTCTGCTCCAGATGGAATATTGTTAGAAGATAAGGGAGTCTTCCAGAGACTACTTGGAGAACTTATTTATCTATGCATGACTCGGCTAGACATTGCATATGCTATCAGTTGCATCAGTCAGTTCATGCATGCTCCCAGGGATACTCACATGGCAACAATAGAGCGGATTCTGTGTTATTTGAAGAGCTCCCCTAGAAAGGGAATTCTATTTGCTAAGCATGGCCATATGAAACTTGAAGCCTACACAAATGCTAATTGGGCCGGAAACATTGATGACCGAAGATCTACCTCTGGGTACTGTAGCTTGGTGGCAGGTAATATTGTCTCTTGGAGAAGCAAGAAACAATCAGTTATTGCTCGATCTTCAGCCGAAGCAGAATACAGAGACATGGCTCATAAGTTTTTGAACTATTGTGGCATAGATCCTTGATGGAGGAACTGGGTATTGAGCATGATAAGCTAATGATGTTATACTGTGATAATCAAGCCGCCATCAACATTGCTCACAACCTAGTGCAACATGACAGAACCAAGCATATTGAAGTTGGCAGACACTTCATTCGAGAAAGAGTGACTTCTAGAGAAGTGTGTCTACCTTTCATGACCTCTGCAGGACAGTTAACTGATTTCCTCACCAAGGGCATTCCCAAGGCTAAACTTCAGCATGATACTGGCAAGCTTGGCAAGATTAACATCTATGCTTAGCTTGAAGGGGAGTGTAGAGAAGATGGGCCGAATGGCCCATAGGCTATTTATCCTTTTTATCTTTTATGTTCTTTGTTGTAATGGGCCTTAATCTGGGCTTTATTCTTTCTTATGTTGTGTCTTTTTAATTTTCTGCCCAACTAGGGGCTTTTCTATAAATTAATAAAGTTTAACTTAATGAAATAGAATTAAGGGAGTAAGAGAAGGGATGATGTTAAGAAAATCTCTCTCTCTAAACCCAAGTTGCTGCCACCTTCTTCTTCTTCTTCTCTCCTCTTGAACTCTGATTTCTGCTACTTTCTTTTGAATTTTTGCAACTTTCTAAACAGTCCTTTCTTCTCAAAAGGCTGTTTTTCTTTTGTATCCTCTAAGTCAAAGACTCGAGCAGTTACCATCTCTTTCTTGATTTCAGCCCTTAGTCCATTCTTGAATTAAGCCAACTTTTGCCTCTCACTTTCAGTAGTATCACATCTAATAGATAATTCATCAAATTTATGCATGTATTCAACTACAGACAGCGTACTTGTCTCTCAAATGTTTCTTCATTTCTGACCATGTAGAAATAGAACCATCACCTCTATTCTCCAATCGTCGCTCCATCCTTCTCTAGCATACTTTAGCATGACCACCAAACTTTATACGTGCAAATCTGATCCTCTGATCATCAATCATGTCATACCAGTCAAAATATTCCTCTAGTGTAGCTAGTCAATCTGAAAAAGATTGAGAGTCTAAATCTCCATTGAAATCGAAAACATCCACCTTTACCTTCTTGGTTATATCATCTGCATAACCACTATGTTCAGCTTGTTCCATCATCTCATTAAATAGATTTGTGAGCAGTGCTTCTTGATCAATCCCTTGATGGGTATTTCGGGTTCGATTAGCTTGTGCAGGCGGTACCCTTGTGCAGTTTGCAGCTCTTTACCGTCCTCTAAGATTAACAGATCCTTCATCTTCACCATTATCATCTTCATGGACAGCTCCATTGTTTCGCCCTCCATCCCTTTCATTGATTAGAGGTGCTTCTTGCTGGATTTCTTCTTCTTTATCTTCTTGAATTTCTTTTACTTATTCTTCAAGGGTTTCAACTCTCTTACAAAGGGTAGAAATCAATGAATCTTTGTGTATCAGTCAGCCGACCCCTATACAGCTTGCTACTACGTGTAGCCATGATGATAACAGCCTATAACCTTGGCTCTAATACCAACTGATGTAGGACCAGCTCAGTTCTAGTCCTTAGAGAATGTTGAATGGTCTTCTTGATCAGAGTTTTATGGCTGTCGATGGCTGTAATGGCCTCTTGAAGGAATAAAAGAGAAAATAGGAAGAGAAAGAAGAGAGAAAATAACTGGAATCACTCACAAGGTGCCTAGAATCACTCTAGGGCATGGGAATCACTCACCATAGCTAGCATAAGCCGAAACAAAACTCAATATAATTCATTGCCTTTGTGTAAAACGTCCATACATATTTATAGACTCTAAACTCATAAAAAATCCTAGGAGTCAAACTGTTAGACTCATAATAGTCTTAGGAGTCAAAYTRTTARACTCAATAATCCTAGTAGGAYTCAAACTAAGTTGTCATATCCTATTTTAATTCAAAGAAGACTCAATAACTCTAATCCTACTTATGCAATGACTCTAAAATTTTAAACATAAACAAACTATAACTAGACAATCAAACCCTATTATTGGACCCTACAGAAAAATTATAAAATGGAAAAAATACCCTTGGTGTTCAGTTCAGTCCAAATCCCAAGTACCATCACTATGCCATATCAGGACCTATTGTGAAGCCTTCTTCTTTCTAGAATAAATCTTCAAGGGTGCTGATCGATTCCTATCAGAAAGAGTCATAAAGTGTTCACACCAAAAGAATGTAGCAATAAATTATCAGCTTCACCAGGAGATGGCCAGTTTTCACCAGTAGAAGAAAAGTTTGTAAGCTTATTTCACTATTCTACAGAGCATTTGATAGGGAACTGGACCATTGTCAAGTTATTTCTTGGAAGAGTGAGAAAGATGCCGAGTTAGATCAGGAAGATAGCAAACAGAATAGGACCTTTGAATTCCTAGACAATCTACGTTTCAATCATGAGATAACTTAAATCTAGATCTTAGGAAGAGGGGAGTTACCTAGCCTGAGGTGTATGCATTTGTGGAAAGTTAAGAGTGAAGGAACATTGCAATGAAAAGATACCAGGAGAGTCCATCATCACAATGAAAGGATTATTATTGAAGGAGACTCTTAGTTTGCCATTAGATTAGAATTCACACAGGGGCATGAAGATTTAGTCATTCCCGCATAGTATGGATCTCTTTCAACCAAGTGGAGCCCCTTGTTGATCAGAGAACTCCATGACCTTGCAAGAGAAGGAATGAAAAAGGAAAATGTCCATTAGATTAGATTTTGTTGTATACAATATACCTTTTTATACCAGGCTTTTGGTTCACCTTCATGAGAACCTAAGAATTTGTATTCACTTCTTTATCTGTCTTAACAATGCAATATTTAAAGTTACCAGTCAAAAGCATGCACATGCAAAAATAATTCCAAGTTGAGGTTGTATTATACATACCATAAAGTATAAGTATGGAAAGAGGGATGATATCGGCAAAGCTGAAAAGGCAGATAACAAGAGGACAATGAGAGATGATATTGAAACATTGCAGAGAAAATAATGAGGCAAACAGAAGAACTACCTTCAATTTCATGGAGAAAGCAAAAACATACATTACTGGATAATTAATTGATACAATATTGTCAAAGGATGATAGGATAGAAATTCATCCTAACCATATTGAAAAATTCACTTTGATGCTTCCCAAATTTATTAACCATGCAAGAAAAGAGGAAAAAAATAGGTAGCATAAGATAGTAAATAACCATCTTCTTCTTGGTTGATAATTTTATTGTATTCACAACAACATATTTGAACAAAAGAATAAAATAATGATTAATTACAACCCAATCAAGAAATCTTATATGGAGCTAGTAATTCCTAGTTATAGAGACCTACCATTCATGAACAGCTTGTTAAAATGAATTCCAAAGTGGAGTTGCATAGATTAGTTATATTGGATGACTATCTCACTGGGAGAAACTTATTCCGACATTTATATGTATCTAACCATATATGCATGTTATGGGCCTTTCTAAATGGCACCTCTTCTGGCCTCTTGGAGAGATAACTCATACTTTTGATCACCTATACATGTTCTTAATAAAATCATATTCTGCTGCTGATTGGAAAAGAAGAAAAATCCCAATTCTGATTATTCTACAAAATAAATAGGCTATAATGTGACCAATGCCTACACCTAAGCCAATTAGAAAACATTAATGTCCCTCTCACAAATTCACACAAGCCAAGTAACATTGTTCAGATATATGTTCACATTTTTCCCATCAATTTACTTGTATATTTTTTTTTTCTAAAAATTATTTATTATATTGTTTATTGATGGGTAAGAGACAATTGAACAAACATACAAGTACAGCTTGTTAGAGAGAACTATGAAGAGCCTTAAAAAAGCTATAACTTAAGAGAGAAGGGGGGGGAGGGGAGAGAGAGAGAACAAAGAATAGGTTATCACAATCATCCCAGAAACTGGCAAAAGGCATTCCTCCAAACTCAATGGGTGATGAATGCCTCCCTATACCAAGCTAGAATAAAAGGCTGAAATAACAAAGCACCACCTAGTAAATATGAAAAGTGTCCAATGATCCTTGTCCATATCTTTCATTGGACAAAGAAGATGGCAGGCCGTCTTACGCCAGTCTGCTCACATGGTATGAGAATGCTCTCCAAGTGTGCAATTACTTCACGTTAGTTATTAGTCTTCCAGAAGCCTTCCTGCAGACTAAATGGTTGGCAAAATCTGCTAATTTAAATTCAAACCAAGTCAACTAGCAAGGCTACTTCACCCATGAGATGAACTAATTGATCAAACCAAATCAATTCATTAGCAGAATTAATTGAAACCAGACATGGAACTCTTGAGGTGACAGATTACTTGGATTTGTAGGATCTTTGAAAAGAAATATACTTTTCATGATATATTCACATTTTCACTTTACATTCCTGTACATAATTATCCCAAGTTGTGCTTTTTGTGTTTCAAGATTTAGATGTTTTCAGTTGAGCTTAACAAATTTCTAGTCATTGATCTGGCAAATTCTAAATCAATTTGGAACTACCTTATTTATAAAGTTCTCGCTTGAGTATGACTTTGATTCCACTTTTGAATTGCAGCCATGCTAAACCATTTTTTTTACTCAACACTAGCAGTTATTTACTGGGACTTGGTATTACTTCCCCCACATTTAATACAACAACACTGAAGCAACTGACCGTGACCATGAAACCTCTAAAGCAACACAGAACCAAGCTAATGCATTAGTAATTACATTTCAGCACAACGATCAATCAACATGCAAGCATCGAAATAGGCATCTAATAAAGAATAACAACGATAAGACCGCTTACCAGTGCACAATACCACAATCCATACATAGAAAAATCCCCTGTAAGGTATGCCTCGCCGAGTGTCATTAAGTTGATCAATCTTACAACCTGGGCAACTCTGATGGTAGAATCTCTTTAGAAATGGTTCTCTATTCTCCGCCATGGGAAACAAGCCAAACAAGAATTCAGCCCGTCACAGTCTTCTTCTCTACAAAATCCAATCCTTCGTTCAAACTTCAAACAGTATTCTGCATTAAAAACAATCAAGAAAGACGAATGTATAACAGAGTTTAAATACAAGAATCTCATGTATTACTCTAGATAATCACTTCTGATCCCAGGCAGCGTCTACTTACAGACTTCACAGAAGTGAAGCCCCTCCAGAGTCATCAAAGCAGGTACCGTAGACCCACCAGAGAAGCTTTAATAATTTTACAAAGCGAAAACCTACACATGCTTCTCTGCACAACGAAAGTAATTTTTCTTTTTCAGTCAGACAATGAAAGCTCAAAAAATGTGAAGGTCCCACATTCATAATTTCATCACCGTATGCGTCACTTAAAAAGAAAGGAAGAAACAAGGAAATAATAATAAAAAAATAAAAAAATAAACCAACAAAAGAGCCCACCACATGTTCCATGCCTGTAATCTTAATAGCCACCACAGAATCTCAGAGTTCACCCACCCACTGCCAAATGGAGCAGGAAACTTGCAGATGCAATTTAAAAACCCTTTGATCTTTTTTTTTTGGTAAATAAAAAACCCTTTGATCAGGACGTGAAACAAAACAATAATTTTTTTTAAAGTAAGATTACGTGAAATCTTAAAAGAGAAAACTAGTGCCACATAATCTTAAACATAGAAAAACAGAAAGCGATTGGCTGTTATAGTCAATGAGACAAACAGTTTATATACATTAATATACTAGCGTACAAAACAGTCAAGATTGAAGCTGGCGCAGAAGTAAATTAGACCACGCCTCTTCTTCCACCGCTAAATACATCCTATATGTGATCCTGACACCACTAACCCGACAAATCTTGTCGTGTCAGAATGCAGATCTGTCTTACTAAGAAAGACAAAAGCAATAGTCATTGAATTCAATCAGGGTCGATTCCGGAACCAGTGGGGACTCGAAGGGATTTCCAATAAAATTTTGGCACGTCAATAGTTGCTAAGTTGGGCTGAACTTGCAACCAATTGAAACTTTTAATTTCTGTACAACCGATTTAAAATTTTGTAAACCCTATTGTCACCAACCATCGACGGTAAACCTTTCACTCCCGACCATTCACCGGCACCAAAAACGACTAAATCCTTCAGTCCAAACGGCAATGGTGAACTGTTAACGGCAAGTTGCAACGTCAACAATATAGAAACGGGGAGATGCCCACGGCGTCTCGGATTCTTCATTCTTTTTTCTTGAACGAAAGTGGCGGAATTGTTTTGTGCTTTCAAGTTGATTCCCGGTAAACGGCGGTGTCGATTTGTTTGCTCTGTGTTTTTGCTATTTATTTTTTATTTAAGACAATGATGACAAAGACGAGAGAGAGTCATGAGTGCCGGTCGAGGTATTTCAACTCTTATCAGAGTGACTCGACCCTCCACCCTCGTGTTCCACATTCTTTGAGCGCAACCTGGGTGCTAAGCGAAATGTGCTTCCCATTCGAGCTTCCATTGCCATGGTGGAAATCATGGTTCTAAATTGTGAATCTAATCGCACTGCCATTCATTGTTTTCGTTTTAGAGATTTCCTCTTTTCTACAACTTCAATCCAACGTTGCCGTTTGGTCTGAAAGCTCCAAACTTTGGAGGTTTAATATTGCCGTCGACGATGGAGGATACATCGGTGTTCGCCAATGAGGGTCTCCATTGTCGTTCCCTGTTTGATAACTAGGAGCCGTCCGTCACCATCCACGGTCCACCATTGTCAACACTTTGAACAAAAAGCAGTAAGGAATGGATAGAGTACTAAACTACTCTCTCTTCATTATTAGGAAACAAAAGAAAAAAGAGAAGTTATAAAGTGACTTTACTACTCTATTATTCTACCAGCTTGCTTGGGTATCAAGAATTAGTTCTAAATTTCAACGGATTCAATTATATTGATTTGTTAATGATTTGTCTCCCTATGTAATTTGAATTATTATTTTCTAATTTTCTCTTGAAGTCTTTTTAAGGTAATTTATACATGTTATTTATCATTAAATCATAAATTTAATATATATTTTGTCATCAATAAATTCTATATCCAATAAATTTTAAGAATATATAATACATATTTTTTAAAAAGTAGACCCAAGAATGAAACAATTTTTACATTCAAGTGTTGGCTAAACAATTTAGCCATTAGGGTTAAATGAGCTAACCCATAATGTCATAGTTAAATAATAAAATTTTGAAATAGAAATAAATATAAAAATTAAAAAATATATAAAAAAATTAGACACATCTCTAATATCTTGTATTAATCATACTAAAGAAAAAATAAGTGATAAATAAGAATTGTTTTGTTGATGATAGAAATGAAATACAAAATATAAAATCAACCTGAAAATGAAATTCTTTTTTCTATTTGGTGATGGATCAACAATTCAAGCTTTGATATCAAATGTGTCAACATTCTATGTCATAATTAAAAAAACAAAAAGTAAAAAAGATAAAACACAAATTATAAAATTATAGAGAATGTGTAGGAAACATCTAGACACATCTCTAATATTTTATATTCATCATATTAAACAAAAATACAGAAAAAATGTTATAGAAAATTTTGGGCACATCTCATTTTAAATTAATAAAATTAAAGACAACTAAGTGTGATGAACAAGGATCGTTTTCATGTTTGATGGCAGGTTACTAGTTTAATCTTTCATGTTAAATGGGCCAGCCTTTGACATCATAATTAAATATTAAAACACAAAAAAATGAAAAATTTTGAAATATTTGTAGAAAACATTTTGGAACATCTCCACTATTATGTATTTTTAATATTAAAAATACAAAACATCAAAAAAATTGGGCATATATCTAATATTTTATATTAATCATATTAAATAAAAATAAGTATGATAAACAAGAATTATTTTCAATTTGGTGATGGATCGACCATTCAATCTTTTGGGTCAAATTTGTCAACCCTTTTTATTTTGCAATTAAATAATAAAATAAAAATATAGAAAAGCAAAAAAAATAGGAGAAAATACATAAATTTTGTGGAAAATATTTGGGGAAAATCTCTAATATTATACATAAATTCATTAGATAATTTAAAAAAAAAATAGACACATATTATTACTACTACTATTACTAACATTGGTATAATGTAGATGGGTTGGGTAGGATTAAGGGCCAACCCTAGACCAACCTTGAACTAAGGATGCAACTTGGATTGGTGCAAGTTAGCATTTTACACTGAGCCTTCAAGCCGGTCCAATTCAAATTGTGGATAAACCTCAAATTAACCAAGTCCACCCAAGTTGAACCCCTACCTTGAATATGAACCTTCACATGGAAGATGGAACCAATCTGATGTCAAAACCTAATGGGGCATTGTGCAACATGAATGTTTAAAAAAATAAAAACATGTTATTGAACTCTACTTTTGTTTTCAAAGGCAAAACAAATTGATTTTGTTTCAAAAAACAATACATGTCTTGGAAATTGGAACCAACAAAATAATGGTTTTTAAAACAAAAACAAATTTTTTAGTATAGAAAGTATACAATTTTATGGAATATGATGTTAAATAATCCAATGAAAACATGTTTTTTATATCAGATTTGTGAACACGTTTTTAGTTTCAATCTTGTTTTAAGAAACAATCTGTTTTTAAACGTTTTGATTTATTTTTAGAACTGGCAATCCAAGCCTATTTAAATTTGCTTGCTAATAAATCAATTGAAAGTGATTATGAAACATGAAACATATTGAATAAAAAATCTCTAAGTATTTTTCATTTTTCTGGCTGTTCCCGTTATGTTTGGAATACAATAATACAACTAGACAAAAATAGGGTCAACTCACACAATATATTATGAAGAAGAAAAAACACAATGGATGACAAAAAAGATCCACCCACCTTATGGAAGGAAGATGGCTGCAAATTCCCAACCAGCCAACCAACCGAGGGCTGACTCGTTGGTGTGTTAGCTTATTAAAGCATTGACGCCGAATCAAATCCAGCAACCAGCACTTTGGGGAAAAAGGGGTCAGGGGAAGTTATCAATGGTGCATAGCACCGAATACCAAAGAAAACAACACCAATTAAAGGTTGTGTATGAGGTTTGATGAGAGTGTTAGAATAATCATCATTATCATTGTTGTTGTTGTTATTGTTATCATCATCATCATTTTAGCCTACTATTGTACCTAATTTGATTTTCAATCTATTTATTGTACCTACAATTCATTGTCAAAGTATTTATTGTTACTTAAATCCTAATTTGCTTTTCAATCTATTTATTGTACCAATTATTCATTGTTAAAGTATGAGGATTTAAATCATCATTGTCATCGTCATCGTTGTCATTGTTGTTGTTGTTGTTGTTGTTGTTGTTGTTGTTGTTGCTATTGCAATCATCATCATCAATGCTTTGTCCCAACTATATGGGGTTAGTTACCTGAATCCTATTTCACCCTTCCATTCTATTTAGGATTCATTTGGTTCATGAGAATAGGGGTTTGGAATCGAAACAGTTTGGTTGGACAGAATTAGAATCCCATCCCATTCTTGGTGAAATGGCATTACCCTATTTGAGGGAATGGCCATTCCCTCCCCCTCCCTTGGGAATGAGGATCCATTCTAGTTGATTCCAATTCTAATTCTGATTCTAATTCCTATCTAAACCAAACGAGCGAGAAGAATATACCATTTCAATTTTGATGGATTTCAATCATAGTTTTAAAAACTACACCGGACTAGACGATCAGACCGAAAAAACCTGACCGGTTCCATTTTATCCCAGAACTGTTATTTCCTCAAAAATCGTTGATTTGGTCAATAAACCACTAACCCGGGCAGTTGAACCGTTCGAACCATTTGAATCGTTCAATGGTTTGGCCGGTTTTTATTTTTTTGTTAGAGCAGGCCATCTGTTTGGTTCAAACGGTCGGACCATTTGACCCGGGAACCGAACCCCTGACCGGTTCATTGTCTAGTTCAGTTTTAAAAACCTTGATTTCAATTCTAACTCCGAACCAAATGGATTGTTAATGTTTTATCTATTGCTAAATTATTAGATCATATCTGACTACTTCAACCCTTGTCCCTTTAGGTCTACCCCTAGCTCTTATAACCCTTCAACTTCTAACAAACCATTTCTACTTTCTTTAATTTTATCACCTATAGGAGATACTCCTAAATTCTTTAAAATGACTTTATTTTTGTTCTTGTCCTTTCTTGTTTTAGTTTTTTCACTCATTTATATCAACATTTACATTGCCACACTCATTTTTGGTCATTGGTTATTTTTTGACTGCCGAATACTTTACTCCATACAATATTGCTAGCCCTAAGACTTTGAATGCACTTAACTATTTGACCCATTAAGCTTGGGTTGGACGGATAGGGCTTGACCTCAAACTTGGTCCAAGCTTAGGTCCAATTCTTAAGATTTAACCTAGGTTGATCTTAAACTCAGCCCAACATGTCGACTTAAACTCCTCTTTGTCCTTGGACCTAAGGAATTCTTAAGGTTG